AGCTGACCTGAATGGCAGTACGGCAGGAGGACTACAGGGGAATCACACCTTGACCTGATTCTCCCACCTTTCCATCTCCCACCTTCTTCTGTTAGCCGAACGCAGTCAAAAGCCAGAGAGCAAGCATGTATGTAAAGCAATCCGTAAGTCAGTCTCCCCGGGTGATAAAGAACCAAGTATGAAACCAGAAGGCCAGATAGGCACAATCCATATCTTTGTCTCGGCACCCATTCTCATCTTTCATCAAGTGAAAAAAATATATGTACCCAACACAGGAAACATACAGAATTTCATCTGCTACTATATAATTAAATGTGGTCATATTTCCACCTGACACTAAAATATGGTTTCATCATATAAGGGGAGAAGAAAGGCCAACAATGAATAGAAAGCATATCTGTCATACTTCTGTTTTTACAGCTGTTCAAAAGACCTAAGTTAATAATCACAGATTCCTTCTTCCTCTGCCATTCCATTTTCCCTTCACCCTCTGCTAGCACCTCAGTTGGATGGAATCCTTCACCTGTTAAGTGACTTACAGCCTTGTTCCTGTAGAAATGGAGAGCTTGATGATGCTGCCTTTTGCAATTTCCCATTAATGATAGCACTGGCAAAGGAGTATTACAAGATGATCCAGTGAGCCCCTTGATCCCTGTTGCAGCCTACCTACCAAACCTTCATGGTGTAGCAACAACACAACTGGTGGTCAGGGTCAATCATCTCAGCCTTCCCCACCTTGCTTTCCAACAAAGAACATTCCTTGAGAGTAGATGGTTTTGTTTATTTGAAATGTTGTGTTTTTTTCATATAGGGTCTTGCTTTGCAGTTCAAGCTGGTTTTGAACTCACTCTCCAGCCCAGGCTGGCGACCAATTTGCTGAAGTCCTCCTATCTCAGCCTCCTGAGAGCTGGGATCAGAGGCATGCACCACTACACCCAGCCAAAAATCGATTTTAAAAATAAATTCTCCTCAGAGACAGTAAGACCTCAGTCTTCAATCCTTAGTATCCCCTCATTCTCCTCATCCAATTTAAATTTATTCACACTGATCTTAAACTATAAACCTCCTTTCCGAACAAAATCACATTTCAGTCTTTACCTCAATTCCCATATAAAGCACTGTATGCTATCATACAATAAAATGTAAGTGAAAAAACGAAGGAAAACTAACGAATTCCTTTTCCTATTAGTGAATAAGACCCACACGTGACTCTTATTTCCCAGGCAGCCCACAATTGAGTGTCGCAGTAATGATCATACATTGGCTTTCTTTGCCCATATTTCCAATTATTCCAATCTTCACCTTGTTCATGGAATTTTGCCTGGCCTGGCTTCTACTCTTACCCCTCTAGATTTACTCTTCACTGGCAGCTGCAATCATTTTAATAAAATGACCCATACCAACACTTTCTCATGCTTAACTCCTTCCAATGGCTTCTCATCAGCTTTAGAACAAAATCCAAAGTCCTGATTAGGCCCACAAAGCCCTACACATCTTCAGCTTTGTCCTCTACCCACCCTGCTCCATTCTCAGTCTCTTTGCTCTTCCTTGAACATCCCAAACTTGCCACATCTCAAGGTATGTCTCTTTCCTTACCCCAGACAGTCATATGACTCATGCTCTCACTCTGCTCAGCTCTCTCCTCCTCCAGAAGCATTCCCTGATCTCCTGTCTAACATAATCTCTCGTGTTTCTTCACAGCACTTCTCTATGTGTGATATTGTTACACTTACGATGGAACATAAGTTCCATGAGGACAGGGAGTTTGTATAGTGTTCACCACCATATTCATGGTTTAAAGTTAGCACCCAATAAGTGCACATGGGAAACTAAATGTATGGCCATACATACAGTAAAGAAAAGGGTGTGGTGGTGGGATGGAAAGCATGGAGGAGTGATGAGGAGGCAGTTTTGGTAGGGTGGTCAAGTAGGTCCTTCAAAGGCAGGAACATTTGAGCAGGAACCTGAATGAAGGGAAGGAATGATCACAAAGGACTCAAGGAAAGGGTGCTCTTGACATAGGGAACAATGGGTATAAAGCCTCCTAGGCAGAGGCAAGACTGGTGTGGGTCAGAACCAGCAAGGAGGCTGCATGGCTGAAGCCGAGAGGATGGTAGAAGATGAAGGTAGGAAGGAGGAAGGGGTCATAACGAGAGCTTTAGATTTTGTTCTTAGTGTGAAAGTAAGCCACTGGGGAAACAGAGAAGTGCCCAATATAATGTTCTTGTTTTTTTAGTTTACTTGGGCTGTTGAGTTAAAAAATAAAGAGCAGGAAGATGTTTAAAAGCTATTAGGAGAATTCATTAGAGAGATAATAGTGCTTAGGGAAGATTTAGCCTTTGAGAGAATGAGAAGATTCAGCCATGATTTTGGAGTTAAAGCAGAGGGGATTTCTGACACATTTAATTGTGCAGAGTTGGGGAAGGAGAAGCCAAGGCTGACTCTGGCTGTTTCTGGAATTTATCTGGCATCCTAGAAAGGTTCGCTAGCTCTCCCTAGAAGAACTTTCCTATTTTAGGGATACATATTCTTCCAATTATGACTCAATTTCTAGAAGACTACCAAAAACAAATATAATTGCTCTGGGACACATTCAGAAGAGGAGAGGAGAAAGTCTTAAATAGCTTATGTCAGAAACAATTATAATTCTATAATCCCTTAAGGTACTCAGTGTTGGCATCTCTCAGTATTGGGAGCTCAGACCCAGAAGTATCAACTCCACATTGCCAAAGTGATGCAAAGTGAGCTCGCAGGTTATATTGTTCTTATGTCTCCTGACCAGGCTTGACCTAATCCTGCTAGAAATGGGCAAACTGCTAGAGAATGAGTTGAGGAATAAGCTCATGGCTCCTCCTTCTTTAGAGAAAGAAGACTTTAGACAGTTCATTTCTGACTTCCGGCTACTGACTTTGGCCTTCTATGAAAAGACCCATACAATTTCTTAAAGCCCCATTGCCCGAAGAACAGCTTTTCAATGCAGGTATTATTTTTCTATTCTTTTAGATAGAACTAGGCCAACCTTTATCTTTACCTCCACTGTCTCATCTCTGTACCACTTTGCATATTTTAAAGATGTACAGCTTTCCTTCTTGTGTGTTTACAATATGTTGCCATTTTCAGCTCTAAGACCTATCTACTCTACTCATAGGAAAGACTCCTCAAACACAGTCAGCTTCCCTGTTGCTTTATTGCCTTGTTTATGGGAAAACTGAATACCTTCCCTAATAATTGTCATCCACAACTAAAAATTGTATCTACCACAAGAATGGCTGCATGTTTTTCTCCTCGGCAACATTGCTCTCTTATTTTGTCTACAGCCTGCTAACAATACAGATAGGTTCTTTTCAATGTCCTGCCTTTCTTTTTTCAGAATTCCATATTGAATCATCATAATAGACCTATATAAGCACCATAGCAGAGAGCCTTGAAATCAGATCTGCCTCAACCTACCTATAAAATGTTTCTTGATGTACTTTTGATTCAGTGTTCGAAGTGAGGATATATATAATTCAACTTTCTATCACTATAACAGATACCTGGGATAATCAACTTTTTAGTTCACATTTTTGGAGGGTTTTTTCCATGTTCAGTTGGGCCCATTGCATTTAGGCCTGTGGCACCACAGTACATGGCAGTGCAGTGAAAGTGGCAGAGAAAAGCTGCTCACCTCATGTCTGGGATGTAAAAGAATGAGGAAATAGAAGGGGCTAGGGTGTCACTCTCCCCTTCAGGGGCACACCCCCATTGATGTGACTGTTATGGCTTGTGTTTAAATGACCCCCCCAAAGCCTCATGCAGTCATAGGTGGAGCTTTTCAGAGGTGGCTGGATCTACAGCGTGTGATGCTGGGATTAAGTGTGTGATGTTGGAATTAAGGGTGTGATGCTGAGATTGAGGGTGTATGATTACTAAATGATTCCACTGATTGTTTTGACATAGTTCTGGGAATGGAAAATGGGAAAGCCCAAACTGGGTGTGAGTGCTACCCACCCTAAGGGTATGTAGCCTGGGTAGAATATAAGGGACAGAAAGAGGGCTGCCGTTGTCACTTGCTTCTTTGCTACCTCATCACTTTGCTGCCATCTGTCTGCCATGAACTTTTTCTTCTCTGTGATGCCCCTCTTCCATGTCACCCTCCCTTGGAGCCAGACAACTATGAACTGAAACCTCTGCAAACTGTGAGCTACAATAAACCTTTCCTCCTTTAATTTTAGGTGTTGGGTATTTTGTCTCAGCAACAAGAAAAGTAATCAAGATAGTGACAATCTCCCACCAGACCCCAACTCCTAAAGGTTCTACTACCTCCCAGTAGCATCACCCTTGTGACATAGCCTTTAACACTTGGATCTTCGGGGACATTCCAGATCCAAACTTTAGCAGTATAATACTGATAACTACTTCATCTCCTTGAATCAAGTATAAAGTCATGAGAATGATTGGATGATCATGATGATGGCATTAATAATATTAAAGAAGAAAAAATCACAAAACCACAAGACTTATGATACACATTTATAGAAGTCAAATAAACATTATAACTCCATAATTATTGTCATAAATATTATTAGCTTTTATATTCAAGTACCAATATCAAATAATATTTCTTTAAATAAATCCATATTAATAAAATGGCATAAATAAAATGCATACTTATAATAATAAATACATTATAAATATATAATATTGATTATGGAAATGAAGTTAAGATTTTTTTCCTAAAGGAATGGGAGATAATCTTTCATGAAAATAGACAATTACTTAATAAATTATTTTCTGTTGTACAAAACATCAGTTACAATAAAATATAAATCTCTATGCTTGAAAGATCTACCTTCTGGTATTATGGACAAAGCAACATTGGTTTCTTTTTTTTTTATGTGAAATTCACCCACAAATTGGGTTTGTCTTCCCATTTTTCCTTTTAATAGAAAAGCCCTTTAAGAATCTTATTGTTATTTTTAACAGATGAGAAGGTTCATCCATTTCCTAGTTTCACTCTATCAGACACAGTAATCTTTCAGGTATGAAAGCAGCAAATTCACTTCACTAATTGCTTTGATGTCTCCACTCTCTCCAAGCTGTAAAAATAAGAACACAAATGTGTTTGAGCCTTTATGCCCTCTCTTCTAAAAAGGAACAAGTTAGCGGAAGGCAGCATGATTAAATTGCTACAGAAAGAAACCAAGTATTAACCTTTTGCAAAAGATTAAAAATACCAGTTTAGCCAACTATTAAATGATTTGCCAAAGACCTTAAAATCGTGACTATCTGAACTGAGAGGGCACCAACAGGCACGGATCTCAGTTACAGGGCACATAATGAAGCTATTGATAGATATGTTAATTAGCTCACAACTATGCATAGATCCAAACATCACCCATAAATTATATAATTATCATCTAAAAGTAAATAAAATTTTAGTGGAAGTAGAGAGAAAGCGAGGCAGAAGGCTGTCCCACTCTTCCTCAGGCCAGACTGGAGCTATGCGGGCGTCTGGGAATCCCGAGCTTCTCCCGGTCTGGCCACACGGCCCCCAGCTGTCCATGACCAGCAACTGATGACAACTCAACTCAAACAGCTTTGAATCAAAACCACTCATTCATCACTTGAGCTTTCTCTGTTCCTACTTTCTTGACAAAGAGGGAAGGGGACCCAAAAACAGATTTTAACTTTTGTGGGGAAAATATCAAATATGTCGTTTCTAGTTGCTTTAATGAGTAAATAGCCAGGTCCATGTCCTAATTTCCTTCTGTTCTTCTCCTCCCAAGTAGAAGGCAGATGAGGCTCTCAAACTTAATGGGAGAAAAAACCCAAATTACAGTCCAAAGCACCCTCCTCTGAAATTCTTCTAACTTATTAAATTTGTTCTTGATTATTCCAAGAAAGTCTTGTCATCATTGTCCTCTATATTTTATTCTCCTTTCTCTTTCTGCATTCTTCCCCCATATCACTTTTCCATACTTTCTTTGACTTTTCAAAAGATACTGTTTTATATTTTAAAGATTCCCAAAACAAAAAAGAATTTCATAGCATGTCTTACTTCACCATCTACCATCCATGCTACTATGGCCTGTTCTCTGCTTTCAGCTCCACTGACAGAGAATTAATACCTTCCATGACTGGCCCATTATTCCAGACAGCTCTGACCAGTTGTTCCTCCTGTTGAACTTTCTCTGAATAGCATTCCTCTCTTATCTCTGTTTTTGTGTTTGTTTGGTTGGTTGTTTTTTGGGAGCTACAGGAAAAAGCAAAATTGCTCTTCCATGTGGCAACTCACTGTAAAAATGAAAGTTAATTCTCTCAAAATGGATTAAAGGCTTAAAAAACAAAACCTCTGTTTTCCCACCTAGATCTGATCTCCCATGAGATTTTCCTCTTCCACACTTCACTTTTCTAAAGACAGCAAAGTAAGCTGACATCAGAGATTTTTTTAAGACAAGAAGTACAAAGCACTTCTTATCTATGGCATACTAACATTCAGCTCTCTGTATCTAGGTAATAGCTTCACAACAAAAGTATTGAATTTTGCAGTGAAAAACTACAAAGCCTTCAGCAATCAAAGGAAGAGGTAGTCATTTCCATTAAATTATGCTCAGGAAGACTTTTTAAAAATTAAGAGAGAAAAGAGGGGAAATTGAGATTAAGGGTGTTAGTGAAAATTTTATTAACTAGATACAGCCTTCACATTCCCGAGTATTTAAATGCCCAGCTGGAAAAGAGTACCACTTTCGCTGCTACCAATCACTCCTCTGGTTAGGGGATGAATCACTCTTGATAGTATGAGCCTGCTGCTATTGTTCTTTTCCCCAATAGGTCACATAATGGTATTATTCACTGCAGAAATGCACACTAGCTCTCAGTAGATAGGTTCTCACTAGGGATTTGTTGAAGGTGTGAAGAAGAAAACACTACAGAAAGGAAGGTTGAGAAAAGGGAGGAAGGCAATAGGGTTTCCAATTCAGACTTCTAGTTTCACTATGATAAACCCATGCCTAATATTTTTACTCTATTGGAAGCCATAGAAAAGAAATCATGGTTGTCTTCTTTTGCTTTTAAGCTGAAATCAATAGCTATTAGATATTATATTATGGTAATCAAATATAAGTATCCATGATTCCAGAAATTTATCTGATATGCAAGTCCAGCTTTTTCATTATTGTTCTGGGTTGATTTTTCCCAGTTTTAGAAGATCAAATTAATGGCTTTATAAATCACTTCAAATAAATTTTCACCCAGGCACTTTTCTTCTTTTGAGCAAGTGCTTTTTCAGATTATATGGGTCAATAGAGATCTGAAATTTCCCTAAGAATTAATAATACTAAAACTAGCACAGGTGGCTGGATAAGGGCTGATCTGGGAGTCAGAGCATGTGCATTCCAGCCCTGGCTCTGCCAGCAGTCTGCCTTCCCCAGAACATAGGATAATGAGACTGGATGATGTAATTCCCTGCTGGTTCTAGAATTTCCTGATTTGTAAAATTTGGAAATTGATTCATAGGAGTACAGATACAACCATATATGTATGCATCTAACTAACCAATCTGATAGCAGCAGAATCAAGAAAAATATCATACAAAGTACAAAATAAAGAAAAAAATGGAAGGCAAGCAACATTTTTCTCTCCTACTGATTGGCTCATTGTTCATATTTATCATTTTTACCTTTTTCACTGTGTCCTTCAGCTGTTCCACCTTCCTCTGGATATGCTGGTCATCACCCCTGATGTGCTACAAAATGAAAACAAGAGTAACTCTTCTTGCTATGTGGAAGCTTTACTGACCTCAGCACTCATCAGAGGCACATGACAATTCACCTGGAGTGGAAGCTTTCAGTAATTTTACCCACAATGACCTAGATTTCACCAGTGACCTACATTATCTTGGACACCAAAATCCAAACACTATAGAGAGCCTTTCTTCATCTCTGGGGAATCCTACTGAGTTCAACTCTATGGCAAGAATGAAACGGCATATTCCAATTCAGGCAGAAATAAAACCCTAACCTTATCTCATCAAAATTATATGCTCAGAACAAGAAATGTATGCAAAATGCAAAACAATTTATGTGGCCAGGTCCCCTAACTAACAAGTCGCCTTCTCTGCCCAGTCCACTCCAACACGCTTCATAGTTTTAAGTGTTCAAAGGCATCAAGTTCTCACACTTCAGATTTTGTCACTTCCCGTGACATCAAAAGAGGAGTAGTCTTTGTCCACCTGTCGTGACTAGGCCTTCCCATTTCCTCCTCTCTTCTACTTTCTGTATTTGCCCTTCCCTCCAGCAAATTAGATTCAGTGGATCCACTTCCACATCAAAGCATCTTTCCTTAGGGTATCTTTGTCATCATAAGTAACCTGAGTTCTTTTCTTTCCACAAACAAATGAGGCTTGTCAACACTTGTCTTCTAGACCCCAGCCATCACTATAAACTCAAAATGTGATTCAATTAGAGCAAAAGCAACAACTCTGCAATTTCAAGTGAATCGCAGTAACACTGTTCCTGAGGCCCTTATTATGGTCACCACAGGAGCGGAGAAGGGAGGATCAAGGAAATGGGCTCTAAATGGAAGAAGGAGAGAAGGTTCACAGTGGATGGATGTAGGCTGAAAAGACTTACACATGGACTGAGTTTGTTGCTGAGACCATCCAGGAAGGACACCACCTCCTTCATGTGGGGCTGGAACCAGTCTGAGTGGGGAAACAGCACTTCTTCAAGGGTAAAGTTCAGCACCTGCTTCATCAGATAGCAGCGCTCTTTCACCTGTAGGTGGAAGCAGCAGGGGTCATATTGTGGGATATCCAGAAGACCCTTCCACCATTCCAACTAAGCAATGCCCTCCTCAGCCCAGTGATAGCTTACATTGACTCCTCGGACCAGTTTCCCCCCAATGAGACGGACATCTGTGTTGTTATCTGCAAAGCTGGCCTGGAAAAGAGAACAAGACTAAGGGCCTGGACATTGAGGCAGTAGAAGGAAAGCCCTTATATGTCTTCTCCTCTTCCCAGAGCAACCCCAGAATCAGTAGACAGATTTCAGATGTGTGCATGAGTTTACATTAGTGCACAGAAGAATAAAGGAAAAATTACTACTTTAATTTAATGGGATACTGAGTAGCTCCTCTGGATAAACTCAATATATACATTCCGAAGGCAGAAATAGAAGAAAGAACTCTAGTAAAAATGATATTCTCAAAGAGTCTCTGAAGAGATTTAGAAAATTATCCACCTGTGGGCATAAATGACGCATTCCTAAAGATCTTAGAATATGCCCAAAAAAATTTTAAGAACTACTTAGGTCTCACGTAGACACAATGAGAAACAGAGAGGCTGTACCTCCTCAGCGAGCATGAAGGTGAGGTTGGTGATATAGGTCGAGAAGTCAGACTTCTTAAGCACACAGTGGGAACTGACAGGCACAGCTGCTCCTCCCTGAAGCGACAGGGCAATAAGAAGGAGGCAACTGGCAGCCAGAGTCCCCAAAATGGAAAAGCTCACAGATTTCTGCAGAGCAGCCATTGCAGACAACTTGAAGTGAATGATCGGCAACTGGAACAAAGAACCTGGTATTAAGAGAACAAAAGACAAAGACAACATTAGCCAAGAACTCTCACGCCAGACAGACCAATTGCACCCATTTACTGAAATACTTACCTGTTTCGACGATTCTGCTTGTGAAGGGGAGGTAGACACTGCTGCTTTTATAGCCCTTGGTACATCAAATTTTTTGTGTTGTGAAAAACATGACATCAGCAATTATCTAATTTCCAGTACTGGCTTCTGAGAACTACCTAACCACCACAGGAGCCCACAAAACACCACCTCCTGTCTTTCCCACCTTGAGATGCAAGTGTTTCCCTAATACGTCACTATTAGGGCCCAGAAAGTACTTTGACAAATAAATCCCAGAAATTTTCTATACCCTACATATTTTTTGAAGAAATCAATTGCTTTGGTCTTAGTAGAATCCACGTTTGGTATATTATTCTTTGATCTTCTATAGTAACTGAGTAAGCATATTGGTCATGGACTCATTTTCCTGCCAGCTTTATAGATTCTTATCTGTTTAGAAGTGACCAAAAAATAAAGGACTCATGTCATATATCCACTGCTTTCAAGTAAGCGTTAGTGACAACTTGCAGAGTACTCCAACATTTTAAATAACTTGACGTCACTTTTTAAAATATGCCAAATCCCAAACCAGGCTTGTGTTTTAAGAATAACAGTGGTGGCTAATCTAGTAGCTGTTTTCTTCCCAGAGAATAAGTCATCATAACAAGTACAGTAGATGCAAATGTAAAATTTTATTTACGGAAGTACAACCAATATCAATTTAAGTTTAGAAATACTGATGCTGAATAAGCTAATCACCATTTTTCTTAATACGTACTTTTGATAAAAGAATATTGTGCACACAGTAATTCATTTTGAAATTTTATCTACACTAATTCTAAGTTCCAAATAACATTATAACATTTATTGTATAGATGGACATCTAAAAAAGAAAATAAGGGAATATAGCAATTGCATATTGACTTTAAATTATTAAAAATACATTGAGTCCCAATTAATAAGTAAAACTAGACTAAAAATCCTCCAAGGATTGGGAGCAGAGAGCAAGCATGACTATCAAAATGCTAGTCGCCATTGCTGGGGAAAAGAATGTGAATTAGTACACATTAGTTTGATCAGATTTTTCTCCTCACAGCTAATTAAGCACAGGAGTGCTAAAGAACTGGAAGATGGGACTCAAATAATTATAGACTCTTGGCCATGTTAGAGATGACAAGACCTGAAAGAGATCCCCAACCGTAGGCTCAGCACAGTGTAAGGACACTTAGCATTTGAGAAGGAGACCTTAGGAGAAAGGGGAGGTGAGAGAAAATAAAACTGTATGATCTCATTGATTTGTGGAATCAAAAAATGTGAAACTTATAGAAGCAGAGTAGGATAGTGGTTTCCAGCAACTGAGGAAAGAGATTGTAGAGATACTGGTCAAAGTATACAAAATTTCAACTAGAAGGAAGAATTGTGTTCAAGAGATCTGTTGACTGTAGTTAATAACAATATATTATGTGTGGAAATTACTCAAAAGATAAATATTAAGTGTCCTTTCCACAAAAAATATGTGAAGTAAGGCAGATGTTAATTTGCTTGATTTAGCCATATATATATGTGTATATAATATCCCACAATATATGTATTTTTCCATTAAAAATAAAATATTTCTAAATTTAAACAAAACAAATCTCTAGACTCATTTGAAACATTTGCTTAAGGGTTGTTCACAATCCAAAAAAAGATGAAGAAACTGTCTTATCCAATTTTCTGTTGTTTGAACTATGGGAATTTTTGTCCAAATTATACAAAATTCTGTAAAATTAATATCAACACTAGATTTAAACTACTTTGTGGATGAAATAGGCTTTTGTTGATTTGCCTGAGAAACTGACAAGGATACAGAACTTTGCTCCCATGGGAAAAAACAGTTTGACATTGTTGAATTACATGTTTTTGAGGGAAGTCCCTTGTCTCTTTCACTTTGTAATTCCACCACTTACAACACTGCTGCATGCATAGGAAGGGTGCAGTAGCAATGCGTTGAATGAATAAATAGATGTGTGAATTTAAATAATTTACTATCTTGGGAACAGAGAGGTGATTTAGGGACTGTCTTAATAGTGCTTCTAAAGTTGGGGTTTGACCTGCTTCTGCTTAACAGCTTCATTAATGAGTAAATAACTGTGAAACAAAAGTAAAATGCCAGAAAGTTGCAACACAGTCTTTAATAGCAGGAATATGTCTCTTATCTATTATCCCCCAATGCATTAACCATCTATTATGCCCCAATGCATATAACCATTAATAAGATACTGTTAATGGATCCAAACTCTTAGATTTTCATGAGCTTGAGTAAAACTCACTAAAATGAAAATCTCTGGAGCTATCTGTGGATTTCTGAACAGTTGTAGCAAAAGTCTCAAAAAATATTTGCTATTAGGAAAGAATGTAGATATAAAGTATTGCTGCTCCTGTGAAAAGGCATCTGGAGACATGTGTACTAAATAAGTTTAGATTACAAAAGGCCTCTTGTCACTCGTTTCCTTGGGAATGTTTAGGTCTCTTCCATAGCTAGCCCAATTAAAGGGCCCCCCCCAGCACCACACTTCCAGAGCCCAGACAGACTGTACTCGTGGCTGTTCTTCAGAGTCTGCCTTTGCTGAAAAGCACTGACTGACTCTTCACTTAGACCTGCAGATGCCCAGCGAGTTACTAAAAGCAGGATAACTCTTAACATCTCTGCCTTCATTTTGTGTTTGTCTCCTTTATTATCTTAATTTGGGGTCTGATTCATGCCCAGCTCTGGAATGTGCACCATTTAAGGAATGTCTCTGAAAACGAGTGATCCATAGTGAAATTAGCCCTAAATTTAACTAACCTATCTCATTCCCCTACAAGACTCACAACACCAAAATAAGAATAAATAATGTATTTTCAAGATTTGCAGGGACATTCAACTGCCAGCTTTTACATTTTCCTTTTCCAGAATCTCCCAGTGTGCACCTAGAAGTCTCCAGTCATTGCCCTAAAACTTCCAGGAAGAGCAGAACCTCAAAGACAGATCACCTCCACCCAAGGGGAATTACCTCAAGATGGGAACTGAGGCTGCCCCATAAGCAGGAGTATTCATCTCCTGATGGGCACAGGATTTCCCCATTCAAGCAATTACAGCAATAAAGACTTCTCCAGAGCCACCTCCCACAGAACCAGAACTCAGATAATAATAATCAAAAAGCCCACGCTTTGACCAAGACTGTTTAATACTGTATACTTCTTAACCCATGCTCCAATTCTTCCTCCATTCAAACCTAAAGCTCAGGTCAGTACCCCTGAATACATAGCTAAGAACACCTGATACCCAGTTGTCTTTCCAATGTGGTCATACTTGTTAAATTCCAGTCCTACTTCATTACTTTTCCATTTGTCTTGGCTGGTCCAATTATAATCTTAGATAGATGCAAAATTTACATGGTCTAATGCCAGAAAAGACTAACAAGAATCACCAACAAAGGGTAAACTTTTGATGTCTCTTTCACTACAGCATCCCTAGCACCTAGAGATGATGAATAAATATTTATTTACTGAACAAATAAAATTATTTCCCAATTCATTGGCTGATGCTTGGAAATGCACAACTAGAATGCATTCTTTAAAATACAAATCTTTCTTTAAGGATGGCTTTTTGTATCTAGGTAACAAGGTTTACATTCATCATATTTCTCAGCCCGATATATATGACCATTTTTCCATAGTAGTGCATGTGTGGGTGTGTGTGTGGGTGTGTGTGTGTGTGTGTGTGTGTGTGATCTTCCTCAGTCTTTTTCCCTCCCCACCAAACACCTACCACCATCCCTACCCCTGTCATTGGTCATGGCTATCCTATGCATATGTTCAACATGTGTTTTGGAATATATGTGCAAACTTTGTAAAACAGAGTATTATTCAGTGCACTTAAGTAATTGTGTTTTATAATGATTCTCTTTCTTACATTTCCACTCAGCATTATGGTCTTTCGATCTATCTACAGTCTTGTTGCTGTGTGTAGCCCCTGGTTCTAGCTTGGCATTCCAGAGAGTGACCCCATATTTTATAGATTCCTTTTCCTAGTGATGAGCCCTAAGCTGTCTCCAGTGCTCACTACACAGACAATGCCAAACAACCTTATTCAAGTCCTTCTAATGGTATTTCTTGAGTATTTTTACAATATTAACCCACAAGTAGATATGTGGATTATAAGGATAAATTTCTTAATTTTTACTGAGTTCTGCCAGATTGCTCTCTGAAAAGACACTATTAACCTACTCTCATATAAACGGACAAAGCTTTCTCTGTTTAGCCACTCACAGTTGGCATTATACAGCTTTAATTTAGACATCCTTTGAAGGTTTAAAATGCTATCTCATTATTCTTTTTTAACTGATTTTTTTTTCATATACTTGTAGCCACTTAGAGCTCCCTTTCTACAAATTGACAATTTTCACTATTTCCCCATCTTTCTATTGGGCTTTGCTCTTTTGTTGTACTTGTTGATTTGTTTTGTAAGGGTTCCCTTACAACTTTTTAGATATCACTCCCCTTTTAGTTCAAGGCATAACAAACTCTTCTCTCAATTTGTGTTCTATCTATTACCTTTGCCTATTTAGCCTTTGTCAGACAGAAAACTTAATTTGGATGTCATCTAAATCATTCTCTTTCATTTTGTACTTTTCAAGATATTTAAAAACCTCTCTCCTCTCCTTGGTCACAGAGGTGCACTTCTATTTAGTCTTCCATTTATTCTGTGGTTTTACTTTTCATAATTAATTTTTAATGCATTTCATAGATGGCAGAAGGTAGACATCTAGTTTTGTATTTCTTCAAATGGTGAGTCAGTTGTCCCAGTATAGTAGTCTATGAGACAATGAGTCATTGATCACGTATGAATTTCTCATATATAAAAATTATTGTCATTAAGTTCT